AAGTACAAAATAATCCTAATAATACATTAAGGTTTTCTTATGAACAAAAGCATATTAAAATAATAACTATATTCTTGAAATTATATGGATTATCAACTATGTGAAAATAGAATACAATACATGTAAAAGGCTCAGTGTTTTGTTTATAAAAGAGCATTCTTCTCAACACCATCAAATATAATAATTTTCTTCTCCATTTAAGTTTTTGTTTGATCATAAATTTATTTTATGATTGTTCAAAAGAGTTCAACTGGCCAGATACAGAGGCGCACGCCTGTAATCCCAGCTGTTCAGGAGGCTGGGGCAGGAGTATCATGTGTTCAAAGCCAGCGTCAGCAAAAGTGAAGTGCTAAGCAATTCAGTGAGATCCCGTCTCTTTAATAAAATACAAAATAGGGCTGAGAATGTTGCTCACTTGTCAAGTACCTGGTATCTCCCCCCATCACACACACAAAAAAAGGGTTCTTTTAATATATATTTTTCCTTTTTTAAAAAAAATAAGATAACCTATCCTTTATCCTGCTCAAGGGTCCCATTCTCCACAGTTTCCATAAACATTATAAATAACATGATTCCCAACTAAGAATATGTTAGCTATGTAAAGATTTGTACATTTATGTCTACTCAATACAGTTACTCTTAATAATGGCTAAAGGTGGATAAAAATTTCACATTGAATTATACTTATTTCAGTATTTACCTGTATATTATATCACACAAGGATCTGCAAACTCCTTAATTTTCAAACTATTGGAAATTTCAGTGTGTAGATGTTAATATTGATTTGATATTTCTAATTTTCATCCTCTGACATTCCTGATTACAGGTAGTCCATCTATTTAAAAATCCACTATATTTGCTATTCAGACATTACATGCAAATGTTTGGTTCACTTGTCAATAATCAATTATACTTGGTATATGTGAGAAATCTATATTTATCTTAGGATTTCTATGGAGACCAAGATCATGAATGAATTCAAAATTTTGATTGCTTTCCTTGCAAAAAATATATTACTGTGTTGCCTAACCAAGGCCAGTTATTATTATTTCAGACCTTACCTATTTAAAAACAATACTAGTGACATATTAATATAACAACATAGACATGATATTTTATAAATGAATTGAAAGTTGTGACCTAAATAAAGTTATAAATTCATATACAACATAATCAGCACATGAACAAAGTGTTTAATAATGGGGAGTCCTATAATAGGATAATTTGTTAAATAGAAATTTATTTCAAAGTTTTGAATGATGTGATAATTAATATAAATCAAATATGTGTAATATTTATGAATGAATATTTGTTGACTGCTTATATTAATTTGTGATGTCTTTCTGAAAGAGCAGTGGACCTTAAGACAAATTATGTATTTTTACATTATTTGATATTATTATATTTCAAACACACATTTTCCAGTGCTAGTGATTATAATACCATATATAATTTGCCCTAAGATAACACTTGGCTATATTAATCAAAATATGGGAAACTTTTAAAATCCATTTGTTTGTTTTCTACTCGTGATAATTATTTGCTTTAAGCCAATAGC